AACCTTGGCATCGTGATGGCTTCCATTGGACAACCATGCTTGGAACCTGTCCTTCAGGGGTGCGAATTGGAGAAGCTCTCCATTTGTCCCTCACCAAGGACATGTAGGCTGAGCAGGGGGACCTCTGAACCAGCTCCTTCCTTCCCTCCCTAGCATCTGACCTGGGTTGGGCTTCCCTTCTGGGCTTCCTAGGATTGAAACTCTCACCACTTCCTGCTTCTTCTCTGAGATACCAATGTGGGGTCTCCCACCTCCTACTGAAGTGTTGCTGTCCACCTCTTTGACCCCCCAAAATGCCCTCTCCCCTATTTCAGCTCACATGTTCTTCTTGCCCTCTCCAGATCAATCTTGACTTCTTCTTCACCTCCCCAGGTCAAGTCTGATTCTTCTTCACATACTCAGGTCAACCTTGACTTCTTTTTCATTCCCCCAAGGTCAACCTTGACTTTGTCTTCACTTCCCCAGGTCCTCTGACTCCTCTTCACATACTTAGGTCAACTGTAACTTCTTCTTCATCTCCTCAGCTCAACTATGACTACTTCTTCATCTCCCCAGCTCAGCCTTGACTTCTTTTCATCTCCTCAGCTCAACTATAACTACTTCTTCATCTCCCCAGCTCAAACTTCCTTCTTCATCTCCCTTGACTTCTTCTTCATCTCCCCACATCAACCTTGGCCACAATCACTCAAGTATGGAATGCAAAATTGTGGGGTAGAGACCAGAGCCTTCCCACCCACCAGAGGTGCACACTCCCCCCCCCCCAGACTCTGCCCTAAATAGTCTCTGCCTTACCAGACGAATATGGGACCCATAGTCCCAGCTTGGACCTGGGTGACAAGCTGCTCCTCAGATGGCCAAAGTGGTGGTAGCTCTTTTCTTCCAAGATGTCCTCAGGGCCTCGTAGGGGGCGCTCTTCCTCAGATTTAACTGGAGGGGAGAGTACAATGATGGCATCTCTACCACAGGGACCTGGAGGGGGGTGGAAGAGGCTGCTTCCATGCCCCCCCTCCAGGCTGCCCCCCAACTCTCCAGCCCTTCTACTGCTGGTTAACCCCAAGGCCCTCGACGTCCATCTGCAGGTGGGCGGAGAATGACCCCAGGAGGAGAAGGGGGACCAAGAAACAGACCATAGTCGTGTGCGGGTCAAAAGAAGACCAGCATTCCTAGATAGTCTTGGATAACCACTTTTCCATCCAGCATGGGCTTTGAGCCAGCTGGCTGGGAGGGATGGGCCTTTTTCGAGTAGTTCTCTTCCCTTCTCTACACTTCTTCTCTTCTCTTTCTTCCTTCTCTTTCCCTTCCCTCTCTTTCCTTCTCTTCTCCTTCCCTTCCTTCTTACAGTTCTCTTCCTCTTTTCTTCTCTTCTTCTCTCTTCATTACTCCAGCCTTCCTTCTCCTTTCCTTTCTTCTCCTTCCTTCTCCTTTCTCTCCTTCTTTCTTTCCTTCTTTTTCTTTCTTCTTTCCTTGCTTTCATTTCCTTCTTCCCTTACCATTCCCTTCCCTTCTTTTTCCCTTCATTACTCCTTCCTTCTTTCTGCTCTCTCTCTCCCTTCCTTCCTTTATTCTTTATTCTTCCTTCCTTCACCTTCTTCTGTCTTTTCTTTCCCTACTCCTTTCTTTCCCCATCTCTCCTTCCTTCCTGCTTTCCTTTTCCCCTCTCTTTTCTTTCTTTCCTTCCTGTCTCTCTCTCTCTCTCCCTCCCTCCCTCCCTTCCTTTCCCCCTCTCTCCCTTTTCTTGAATAGATGAATAGAATTCTTTTATTGGCCAAGTGTGATTGGACACACAAGGAATTTGTCTTGGTCTTTTTCTTTCTTGTCTCTCATTTCTTTCCTTTTCTTTCTCTCTCTCTTTTCTTACTCTCTTTCCTTGCCTTCTTTCTCTCTCCCCTTCCTTCCTTCCTCTGTCTTCCTTTTCTTTTCCCCCTTCTTTACCTTTCTTTCCTTCTTTCTTTTCTTTCTCTCCCCCTTTTCTTACTCTTTTTTCTTTCCTTCTTTCTCTCTGTCCCTCCCTTCCTCCCTCCCTTTCCTTCCCACCCATCTCCCATTCTTCCAAAGTTTCAGGTGACCCATAAAACTCAACCTCCAAACCAGACCTTTAGAAGGAACCCTCCCATACTATCACCTCTTACAATACTAGACAACACAGTATCAACAGTGGAGACCTTCAAATTTCTAAGTTCTACTATATCACATGACCTAAAATGGACACCTAACATCAAAAATGTCATCAAAAAAGCACAACAATGTTATTTCTGCGCCAACTCAGAAAGCTCAAACTGCCCAAGGAGCTGCTGATCCAGTTCTACAGAGGAATTATTGAGTCTGTCATCTGCACCTCCATAACTGTCTGGTTTGGTTCTGCAACCCAACAGGACAGACACAGACTTCAGAGGATAATTAGGACTGCAGAAAAAACAATTATTACCCACCTGCCTTCAATCGAGGACCTGAATCCTGCACGAGTCAAAGAGGGCTGTGAAAATATCTACAGACCCCTCACATCCCGGACATAAAGTGTTCCAACTCCTTCCCTCAAAACGACACTATTAGAGCCCTGCACAGCAGAACAACTAGACACAAGGACAGTTTGCCCCTAATGCCATCACTCTGCTAAACAATTAATTCCCTCAATATTGTCCAACTATTTACAAAGCCTGCACTACTATTACAATTAATCTTCTCGTCACTCCTTATCACCCCTCCCATCCCCTTGTGACTTTAGGACTGTAACTTGGTCGCTTGTATCCTTATGATCTATATTGACTGTTTCCTAGAATGATTTGATTGCTTATTGTACCCCATGACTATCATTAAGTGTTGGACCTGATGATTCTTGACTCTCGACGAATGTATCTTTTCTTTTAGGGACACTGAGAGCATTTGCACCAAAGACAAAATTCCTTGTGTGTCCAATCACACTTGGCCAATAAAGGATTCATTCATTTGTTCATTCACCTGGAAGCTTACCACGAACAGCCGAGATGCCAGATCGGTCTTGGGCCTTCTCTGGGCTTCCACTCGTACGGACAATCACCAATGCAAGGTCTCCCTGTAGGTCCTGACATGGGGAGCTGCTGGTCCCCTGCTCCATCTTGACTGCAGAGACCCACAAACACTGCCCTTAGTTCTGGCTTTGCCAGAGACAAGAACAGGAAGGAAAAAGCCCTTCCCTATCAAAGCCCCCCCCCCCCCCACAGCAGCCAGGAACTTGCACCCAGCAAGATGGGATCTGTGATCGGCCGCCTTCTCACTTCGGCTTCCCCACAAAGCTCTAAGCCGACTCTTTGTCTCGGCAAAATCCCTTTTATTAAACAAAGGTGAATTTCTTGCATTCGCCTTCCGCCAAAGGCCTGGCCAACAGCCTTTCAAGGGTGTCATTAAGAGCACAGACCTTATCTAGCTTGGAGAGCTGCCAAGTAACTATTTCCAAACGCAGTGCTGACAAGGAAGGACTCGGCACAGAGTCTCTGAGATGCACAGACAGATCTTCCCACTGTGGCAACGAACAAATTGTTTCTTGCAAAAGCCCCCTTCCCTTTCGCTCCTCTTTTAATCCCTATGGGAGGGGCCATTCACCATCCATCTGTGTCTTTACTCCCACGTCAACCCTTGTTCCTTAGCTGTTCCCTTCATCTGGCTGCTCTACTCATACACACATTGGGAATAGGCTCCAGCTGTTCTTCTTACCCACTGAACTCCGACTCTAAAGGCAGCTGACAGCTGCCAGACTGCCGTGGCCCCATCTCTGCCTTTGACATGGAGCCCTCATCCGAGACTTCCTCTGTCTCCAGGACTGGCCCAAGTTCCTCTCCAACCTCCTCACTGTACGACTCTGCTGCCAGCTCCGCTAGACAACGGCAGGCTGCAATAGGCAGCCTTGCTGCCACCATCAAGCCACGTACCTGCTGGAAAGTTGTCTTCCTCTTTTCCACCTGGGGAATTTACTCTCCTGCCCCCCTCAGGCTGGGGGATGGTGGAGGGGTCCCCCCTGGTTGTGACAGAAAACTGAAGTCCTTCTCTGGGGTTGCAGGCTCCCGACTCCTCTCCGGAAGCTTCTGTCTTAACTGCAGACAGGATCGAGAGGTAGGAGTTACAAGTTAAGACATTCGGAGAGAAAAACCCAGTGGAGAAACCCAATGCCTTAATTTTACCAGTGACCACATGGGAAAGTTGAAAAGAGTTCAATGCTGCACAGACACTGCAACTGTCATACATATGAGTCAGTTTCCAACCAGCTGAATTTTAATCACATGATAATGGGGATACTGCAATGGTTATAAGTGTGAAAAATGGTCATAAGTTTCTCTCTCTCTCTCACCAAGGACCACACAGTCATCTTCTTTTCCTCCTCCTCCTCCTTCTGTCTCCTCCTCCTTCTTCTGTCTCTCCCCCTCCTCTTCTTCTTTTCTGTCTCCCTTCCTCCTCCTCCGCTTCTTCTTCTTCTGTCTCCTCCTCCTTCTTCTCTGTTTCCCCATCTCCTCCTCTTCTTCTTTCTCCTCTTCTTCGGTCTCCTCGTCCTCCTTCTCATTCTCCTCCTCCTCCT